TATTTATGCTTGACTTTTAGGTTCGGGCCCACTGGAGATATATGGGAGGAGATCTGATAACCCAAGAATTGAAAGGGAGGAAAATGTTGTACCTTTTCTGTGGCAATAGACAAATCCAGGAATTGTAAATTTCTTACTGTCTCACTTAGTAGCCTATATGTTCCCTGTTTCTTTGGTATCACAAGCAATGGGCGTGTTGTGAGGGCTAGTGGAGGGCTCTATGTGTCCCTTTTCCGATTGTTCCTGTACCAGTTCTCTAAGGACGCCAAGTTTGGGTTGTACTATTGGCCACTGCTCTACCCAGATGTGTCCTGTTTTTTCCCATTCGATGGGGATTGGCAAATTGGCTTTTGTATGAGGTGAGCAGTGGCCCCTAGAATCGGGGGTGAATCTTACTTGTAGGCACTCCATTAAAGCTGCTGGCTCGTGGAGACTTGTGATCCGTAGTAAGGACCGCTTGCATTTGTGAGAGCACGTCTCTCCCCCATAAGGCCATGGAAACCTCAGCAATCAGCGGAAAGATAGTTCCCATATCTCCACTGTCCTCTCGCCACGTTACAGGCGTGATGACCTGATCAGCCAATTTTAATCCTCCAACACCAATGTTGCATTTTTCTTGCGTCCCTAGCTTTCAAGACAGTGGCATCTGCCCCCGTATCAATTAAACCCACAAAGGCAATGTCATCTAAGTATAGGGTCAATTTTGGCCTCAGATTGAAGATAGGCATCGGCCAGTTAATGGTGGTGGGACTCCCTCTTACTTGCTGGGCTGAGGGCCGCCCCGCTGGGAGGTTAAAGGCTCGGTCTTGTAATCTTTGGCCCAATGAAAACCTTTTTTACATCTGGGACACAGCGTTTTGGGCTGGCCTCGTCTGTCAGCGTTTGGGCAGTTTCGCCGTAGGTGCCCTATTTCCTGACATCCCCAGCAAACTGGAGGGTCATTGGACTTCCTTGTGTTCAGTTTGTCAATGGCTGCAGTTAGGGCCTGTGTGGGTGTATCGGCAGGGTTTCCCTCCTGTGTGGCTACCACCTATTTAGAAATGTCTTCATTACGGACTGGGGCGATTGCAGCTTTTGCCTCTTTGGTAGCACCTTCCCAAGCTAATTGTTCGACCAGATTGTCTTGATCGGGGCCAAGCGGTCATCTTTTCTCTACTGCCTCCGAGACTCTGGCAAGGAGATCGGGGAACCATTCGCCTGGGCCTTGAACTAGGTTTCTACAGAGCTGGCTATAATTAGGAGGATTTATATTTTTTAAGGCTCTAAGTGCCTCTGACCTGATCAAAATAGACAGCTACCCCAATGCGGGCCTGTTCATGAGGATCTACGTAGGTGCCGCGGCCTGTAAGCATAGCAAAGGTGACTGCAATTCCATAGGCAGCATTAGTCCTTGCCACGGTTTCAGCCTCCTCCTCATCGGAGGCTCTCCACTGTAAACATTGCTTTGAGCAGTGTAACCCAGTCAAGATGAGTTTGAAGGTTCGCTGCCCGTTGTGTGAGCACCTGTTCAAAGTAGGGAGAGCCAGGGCCTGACTCTTGAGAAGCCTTTTTTAGCATAGCAGGGTCATTTACGGGCGTTGGAGTCCAGGGCCTGAATTCTGCCTCCGCTCCTACATTAACGGGAAACGTGCGGGTGGGACGGGGTCTAGCGGCTGCCCTGAGAGCCTGCGGTGCCCGGGGACTGCCACCAATGTGGGGATCCTCACTGGGTGTGGATGGGATGACCTCGCGTGGGTTACTGCCTCCAGGTCGGCTGACCAGGCATTGCTACATTGTTTGCTACATTGTCATTTTCACTGTGGGCGCTCTCTCTCCCTAAGTCATCAACTGTTGCCTGTGAAGCAGAGGCCTGGAGTGACAGGCTCTCATCACTCACAGGTTCACTATGTCTGGTAATCTGTGTGCGCTTCTGAGAGGGGGGTATGTTTCCCATGTTTGAGCGCTTAAGAGCGGCGCGCCACGCCAACTCTAGCCAAAGGAAAGACACGCACAGCACTGCTGCCCTAACAAAGCAAATTCCTAGCACCTCAGCGGCTGATGGCTTCCTGCAGGGGGTTCCCTACGTTAGACTGACAGCGGTGTATCAGATCGTACGTATGCCCTGTGCGTAGCGGGGGACTTCCTTGATTCGTTAGGCAAGGCCGTATGCCCACACGGTGTCTCCGGAGCGTCACCTCTCTCGAGTGAGGGAAGGTGACTTGGTTCCGAATTCTGGGATGATCAGTCCCTTATGTGAATTCGCCGGGCGAACCGAAAGTAAAAGGAGGAGCCGAGAAGCGAGAGAAGCGACAAACACCGAGGGGCCCACTTACCTCGCCGACTCGACTCTCTCTCTCAGTCACGTTGGGGCGCCAGATGTTGCTGGAGGAGAGGAGGAGTGTGGTGAGGGCAAGAGGCGCGGCGTCACCACACAGACCCCGGGACTCGGGTGACAGTGGGCCCGAGGGGAGCAGCCCACAGACTCCTTTCTTTCAGTTGGTACAGCGGCTTAAATAGCCAAGGCAGCCAGTCCGGTCAAGGGGTGGCCTATGCCCTAGCCAATCACAGCCTGTTGCCAGGGGGGTTTCGAAGCCATTCCTGAGTAACTGAGCTTGCTTGCCAGCGGCCATCTTGGCATGGCCTTCTCATTTCACCACAGCCGCAATGGCCAGAGCTGCGCTGATCCGAAGCCGGGAGCCAGGAGCTCTTTCTGGGTCTCCCACGCGGGTGCAGGGGCCCAAGGACCTGAGCCATCTTCTGCCGCTTTCCCAGGCCATAGCGGAGAGCTGGATCAGAAGAGGAGCAGCCGGGACTGGAACCGGCGCCCATATGGGATGCCGGCCCCTGATAGGCTTATGCTTTAAATTTATATTTGCCCTTCTATGATTGGTTAAAGTATAGGGTCCGAGCCGCTAGGGTGTAGGAGCCACACTGCAGGGTTTCAGGATGTTATCAGTCACCTTCACTGCCTGATAAGACACCTGGAACTAACTTTGGGTATTGCCCTACTACCTGCTCATTGGCCGTTGCTAGCGGACTTTATCGCAAGGGGAGCTTATTATGTTGTTGGGGTTTTTGTTTGTTTGTTTGTTTGAACAGGCAGAGTGGACAGTGAGAGAGAGAAACGTCTTCCTTTGCCGTTGGTTCACCCTCCAATGGCCGCCAGGTACTTCTCCTGGTCTCCCATGGGGTGCAGGGCCCAAGCACTTGGGCCATCCTCCACTGCACTTCCCCGGCCACAGCAGAGAGCTGGCCTGGAAGAGGGGCAACCGGGACAGAATCCGGTGCCCCGACCGGGACTAGAACCCGGTGTGCCGGCGCCGCAAGGTGGAGGATTAGCCTAGTGAGCCGCGGCGCCGGCAAGCTTATTGTTCTTTTAGGCGCTTTTGGCTTAGGGTTCCGGGCCCGGTCAGGCCCAAGTTACGAGATGGAGGCCTGGTCTAAAACAGCGGCGCCTTGATGCAGGCTCAGGTCTCTCACAGAGAGGCAGGAATCCCCGAGAAGCTCCTTGAGCGTCCTTGAGCCTGTCCGAGCCAGCGCGTGAGTTGTCGAGGCGCTGGCGGAGGAGAGCGTGTCCCACCCACCTCCCGCCCCGCGCGCCCACGCCGGGACGGCCGAGCTGGGCTCCTACACACCGCCGCGTCCGCGTCCGCGGCGATTACTCTGAACACCATGGGCCTGAAGCCCCGCGTGCGCGCTCCCGCCGCAGTCCCCCACCCTCCGCCCTGGCCTCCCGCCCGGCTCCTGCTCTCCCCGTAGAGGAACCCGACCGTTTACAGGCGCCAGGAGAAGGCGAGACGAGGCGAGGACCCTGCTTTTCTCAGCCCGGCTCCTCTGCCTATTTCCGTCCTCAGCCTAGCTTCAACCCGCATCATGCTGCCCGGAAGCTGCAAGCCCCCTGACTGGCCTCCCTGCTTTCACCCTTGCAGCCAGGTGATGACGGGGGTGGCGGTGCGTGCTGGCGTGCTGTCGTCAAAACCCGGCTGACTCGGGTTTAGGGCCGTGCGATGGTCTACAAGACCCTGGGGATCGTCCCCCAACCCCACCGCCTCGCGGACTTGAGTTTCGTGCACCTGTCCTGGATGTCGAGGCCGGGGCAGGGTGGGGCTGTCTCACCTGGGCCTCCGCTGCAGCAGGCTTTGCTCTGAGCCGGGGGCGGGATGCCCCACGCAGGACCAAGCCCCTGGCCGCTGCAGGTCTCTCCCCACACGATTTTCTCACGGCGGCCCCCCGATGTAGCACCTCGGCCGGCCTTTTCGGGGACTCCCCAGCCCCCTCTCCCGCGCCCCGCCCCACTAGGAAGTGACCCCAAGAGGCCTTTTCGCCCCCAGACGCCCCAGCGCTGGGCACGGGGGACGTCGGCGCCCCCGAGCTCGGAACCGGCCGAAAGGGCGCGGGGCTCACCCCGGCGCGGCGCGGGCTGCGGTGTCCGGGGCTCTCCCTCTCCCCTTTCCAACTCGGGGTCCGCGCGCCTTCGGGCGTTCGTAGCGGCCGAGGAGGCCCCCGGTCCTGCGCCGCGGTGTCCCCGTCCCCGGCTCTCGCGGACGCGGCCCGGCCTGAACGTCCCCCGGGACCAGGCTTTCTCGGAGGGTTCGGGTCCTGGGAGCCGAGCCGGCACCGGCGAGCACAGAGCGCGGGCGCAGGTTTCCTTTCTACCCCCTGCGTCCCCGTGCCCGCCCGGCGGCGGGGTCCCCGTCTTCGCGGGTCTGCGCTTCAGGCCCTAGATGCCGGGCCCAAGGGCTCCCCGCTAGCGCCTTAGCAGGTGGCCAGGCGGGTGGGCGGGGACGTCACCACACGGGGCGTGGCGCATGCAGATGAGAGGCGCGCGCAGAGGCTGCCGGTCGTGCGGGGTCCGGGCCTCCGAGCCCCGCGTGGGCAGCACGGCGGGGGCGTTCGTGGGGTTCCCGAGGGGCAGGGGGGCGGGCGGGGCCGGGAGGGGCCGAGGGCCGCGTGCGGAAAGTGACCGTGCGCTGAGAGTGGGGCGGGCGCGAGGGTGTGTGGCGGGTGGGGGGGCGGCAACTCATACTTACCTGGCAGGGGAGATACCATGATCACGAAGGTGGTTTTCCCAGGGCGAGGCTTATCCATTGCACTCCGGATGTGCTGACCCCTGCGATTTCCCCAAATGTGGGAAACTCGACTGCATAATTTGTGGTAGTGGGGGACTGCGTTCGCGCTCTCCCCTGGCAATTGTTGTTCCAGAAACAGGTTCTTTTCTTGGTTTCGCCGGGGTGTTTCAGCACCTCTGTGGACCTGGGCTGTGCGTGTACTGTTCGGCGGCCGTGTCTGCGTTCAACGTGTCGCGGCGTGGGGTGGGTGTGGCGCGTGGAATTCCGCGTTCAGGGACATCTGCTTTGCAAAAACAGCGGTTCCGGAGAAGCCTCACTCACGTCGCAGGCGCGGTAGCACGGAACCTGCACAGGCGCTTTACCCGGCTGTCTCCGCGTTTGAAAGGCCACGCCTCCCGCGCTGTGTGAACTGTCCAGTGCACTGGACGCGCACAGTGGGACTGCTACACGGAGTCACCCGCGTAACAAGGTAGAGGGCAGGACAGCTCTGGATCGCTCTAAGGGGCGCCGGGGGTGTGCTGGTGTGGCACAGCGGGTTACACCTGTTGCCTGGGCTTCTGTCAGCTGAACTGCGCCCTGAGACGGCACAAGTGGTCATAGGACACGCGGGAGGCCTGGATGGAGTCCCTGGATCCTGGCTCTGGCCTGGCACAACCCTGGCAGTTGCAGGTGTCTGGTCTAACGGGCCTCTCCCTCTCAGCCCACAGACCCCCCCCCCCCCCCACACACACACACTGGTTTCACATGAGAGGCATAAATCCAACTTTTTTTTTTTCTTTCTTCCCCTTTCCTTTTTGTTGCCGTGATAACAAAATAAATCGGGGGAGAAGTTTAAGCCTTTGAAGGACCCAGGTACTTGTCGGGGCCCACGGCACCCATAACTGAGAAATATGCTATTTGGTCTGCAGCCTAATAGCAATTTTATCTATTTTAGTGACGGAGAGAGGTCTTCTATCCACTGGTTCGCTGCACATGTCCACAATGGCGGTGGGCCAAGCCAGGCCGAAGCCAGGAGCTTCTTCCCGGTCTCCCACGTGGGCTGCAGGAGCCCAAGTACTTGGGTCATCCTCCACTGCCTTTCCCAGGTGCGCCGGCAGGGGGCCGCATGGGAAGGGGAGCTGCCGGGACTTGAACTGTCGCCCATATGGGACGCAGGCTCTCCCCTCAACGCCACAACACCGGGCCCCTGATCGCAGCTTTCGAGGTAGACTTCCACTAGTGGCTCATTTAATTTTTATGATACTGATACAACAAGCAGAAAGATTTTTCCAATTTTGGAATCCCCACGGTGGAGGAAATGACGATAGCTGAGTGACTTCAAAAACTTACTCTTTAAGAGCTGGGGACCCAACCAGAGGATCTGCCCAGCCATCACCGTGCAGACTGTCTCCTCTCTGCAAAAGCTGGATCCCACTATCCAACACTACCCTCCCCCAAACCGTCGACCCTGATTTTGGATTTCCTCATTTCGGTTTTCTCGTTCTGTGCGGTAGGTAGACAAGTTCATCTGCAAAATCAAGGTGATGCCCACACTGTGCGCTTTGTAACACTTTTCCTGCAGCTGACACAGCAAGCCCTCCCTCAGCAGTTCACTCCAGTTTGGCAGTATTGCAGTTATGTCCCGGGAAGCCTTGAATCCCTGTGAAACCAGGCGGCGGCACATCGTGCTCTGGAGTTCAGAGGCTAGCAACTAATCCTCTGTGTTTTGCATGATGATGGGCCCCTCTGGTTGGACTGAGTTCTCTTAACTTTTCCGGTACACGATAAGAAAACAGGAGAGTTCCCACACCCTTGGCCCCAAGTATGGAATTTTGCCACAAACGCTGGACATGAAGTGGAAACAAGAAGGAATTTGGATGCAGCCGCTAGAGGGACAGAAGAGCAAGCAGAACCGGAGAGCAGAGCTTTGCGAATTCAGTCGGGAACGTTTATGTACTTCCCTGTCATCCTCGTTATAAGTCTGTTTAGTGGTCAACTGTGTCTCGGATTCACATGGCTCCCAGAATGAGTACCCTTCTGAAAAACCACCTCCCGGGGTCGGCACTATGGTGTAGTGGGTTTAAGCTCTGCCTGCAGCGCCGGCATCCCATATGGGCGCCAGCTCGAGTCCCGGCTGCTCCACTTCCGAGCCTGGGAAAGTAGTAGAAGATGGCCCAAGTCCTCGGGCCCCCGCAGCGCACGGTGGGAGACCCGGAAGAAGCTCCTGGCTCCGGATCAGCCTAGCTCCGGCCCTGCGGCCATTTGGGGAGTGGACCGGTGGATGGAAGACCTCTAGCCCCCCTCGCCCCTCCTCGCTTCACTCTGCACTTAAAATAAGAAATTTAAAATACACACATCCTCCCTTATATTTATTTCAAAAAATTAGTAGCGGAAAATTTTACTCGCTTCTGTAAGCATTTTTCCCGGGGGTGGTGAGCTCCGGGGAAGCAGGCCTGCGCACAAAAAAGATTTTAGTTAAGCATCGCTGGAGGGAAGCTGTGTCGTGAGATCGACCTCACACAATCCGTAGGCTGCGCCTCTTTCCTAGGAACACCATAAAAACTGCAGTCATGAACGAAGTTGTTCCCACGAGAGTGCTGGTGCCACAACTCAGTTAATACCTACAACCGCAGCACTCGTCTTGACCCTCCGCGCATCCTGTAGAAGCAGGATGCTTTGGCGTCAACCCAATCATTTCCCAGCGCAGCACTATTTTTAGCAACCGCAGAAAACCAGGGGAGAGCGCGAACGCAGTCCCCCACTACCACAAATTATGCAGTCGAGTTTCCCACATTTGGGGAAATCGCAGGGGTCAGCACATCCGGAGTGCAATGGATAAGCCTCGCCCTGGGAAAACCACCTTCGTGATCATGGTATCTCCCCTGCCAGGTAAGTATGAGTTGCTCGGCCCGGCCCAGCCCACACCCTCGCGCCCGCCCCACTCTCAGCGCACGGTCACTTCACGCACGCGGCCCTCGGCCCCTCCCGGCCCCGCCCGCCCCCCTGCCCCTCGGGAACCCCACGAACGCCCCCGCCGTGCTGCCCACGCGGGGCTCGGAGGCCCGGACCCCGCACGACCGGCAGCCTCTGCGCGCGCCTCTCATCTGCATACGCCCCGCCTTCTCTCCGCGGCCCCGCCCCGCTCTCCCCAGCCGGAGGGGCGCGGGGCGGGCTGGAGCCCGCCGAGCGCGTCCCCTCTCGTCCCTCTCGTCCCTCTCGTCCCTCTCGTCCCTCTCGTCCCCCTCCTCCCCTCTCCTCCCCTCTCGGAGCCCGAGGCTCGAAAGTAGAAGCGGCTGGATTTCCTCGCCGGCTCCGTCCGACTTCGCCCCCGGGGAAGGAGCCGCAGCCCCGCGCGGCGGCCCTCCCGACGCTGCCCCGGGTGGCCTCTCCCTCGGCTGCCCTCTGGCCGGCGGAGCGCGGTCTGTCCGCGGAAACGAGGGTCGGACCGAGAGACCCGCGAGGCCGGGCGGGAGCAGGGTGCCGCGCCAGTGCCGGGCACCCACGGCTTCTCTGAGAAGCCGTGGGAGAAAGCAGATCCCAGCTAGCAGCGCTCAGTGTGTGCTCCTGTGTCTCTCTTGTCTGGTCTGCGTATGTTTTGGAGAGGCGGGGTGAAGGTGTCTTGTCTCCCTTAGGACAAGGCCCTTGCCTTCCATAATTCAGCCAAAAGTTTGCCATGTTCTGTACTTGCTGTTCCGAATATAACACCATGTGCCCTAGCAGCAAGCTGCATGGTAAGCATTGCAGCAGGGACTCGAACTGGCATTCGGATTTGGGATGCTGCGGTAACCCACTGCACCACAGGGGCCACCCACCTGCCAAACCCCTCCCCCCACTTCACAGTCTGGGCTCACCCTTTTGTTTTTAAATTTTTCATTTATTTGAAAGGCAGAGCATCAGAGTGACACACACACACAGATCTGCCATCTGCTGTTCACTGCCCAGTGGCTACCAACGGTAGGATGTGCCATGTCGAAGCCAGGCTCCTGAAACTCCATCTGGATCTCCTTTGTGGGAGCAGGAGCCCAAACACTACATCGTTTGCCGATGCCTCCCATGTGCGTTAGCCGACGTTTGATGGGCAGTGGAGCAGCCGGACTTTAACCAGCACTCAGGTGGGATGTGGGCATCTCAGGCAGCCACTTAAACCTGTTGTGCCACAATGCCAACCCCTAAATATTGCTTTTCTAATTCCCTCACTCATACATTTTGATTAGCCCTCTACTGTGTTACCAAAACCTTGGTCCCTTGGGGCCAGTGCTGTGGCAGCAGCAGGTTAACGCCCTGGCCTGAAGCGCCGGCATCCCATATGGGCGCAGGTTCGAGACCCGGCTGCTCTACTTCCGATCCAGCTCTCTGCTATAGCCTAGGAAAGCAGTGGAAGATGGCCCAAGTCCTTGGGCCCCTGCACCCGGGTGGGAGACCTGGAAGAAGTTCCTGGATCCTGGCCTCAGATCGGCACAAGGATCGGCACAAACCGAGTCTTCCAACTTTGAGGCTTCCAGGATCCCTGGAACTCTCAAAGGATGAGACTCTGAACTTGTTAAAATAACAGCTGTTTGAGTCAATTCAAATTATGTAAAGTGCATTACAATGTTGTAAATGATGTCAGACCTATGTTGTATTCATGTTTTTGCTTTCCAGCTAAAGTGGTCTTATAAAAATGAGAGTAAATTCTGTGTATACAAGCCTTTATGTTCTTAACTAAAGTAAGTCAATACAGATTGGTTCAGAAAATTGGGTTAATCCAAACGCCCTTCAGTTTGTTTGGGTCCCTTGCTCAGTTTTACGTGTCTTTTATATGCATTAAACTTGTTTCTTTTAAAGATGAAGATTTTTTCAAAGTTGTAAACATGCACTAGTGCACACGTTTGCTGTTCAGGAGGTGTCATCCTTATTAGTTACTTAAAAGCGTGGAAATGTAATTTTGATTTTTAATTCAGATAACAGTGTGCTATTTATTCATTAATATCTCAGTGTTTTAAGTCATCTAGACATTGGTGCTAAGTAAAACATGGGAAAATGAGACTGAGCTTGTTAGCATGCGTTCTCATAGGTTGTCCATACATGACAATTCAAGACTATGTAAAAGGAACTACGGGTGTAAGTTTCAGAAGGTGTGAGCAAATCACAAAAAGTTTTAAAAAGTTTACGATTTTAAAATATTGTTTACAGGGTTTTCTATAAGTTCAGTGTTAATACCAAAATTACACTGACCTAAAGTTGAAGTCTGATCTTCTGTTACAACAATGTTTTGTTTTGTTTTGTTTTGTTTTTAAGTGTACTAATGTTAGTAAATATCTGGAAATGGTCTCGATCGCAAATCTTAAAATCTGTTTTTGCAAAAACTGCAACGTCTCTTTTTGACAGTGTCTGCCCAATTGGTTACTCTGCCATTTCTAGAGTTAGGTCCTGTAAGCTCTTTTCGACTCTGTTAAATAGTTCTGAGTTATGTGATGATTTCGTGTGCTAATTCATATGTTCAAGGTTTTTATTTCTGGTTTATTCGAAAACAAGAGACATAGAATTCATGTTCTGCCAAAGTAATCTATTGTGTACTGTTTCTGTTAAGTTCAGATTGATGAAAAGCATTAAGTCTTAAAAAGTTGCGTTAAATATCGTTATGACTAGATCTGGTCTAAAAGTGTCAGCCGGTGCTGCGGCTCACTTGGCTAATCCTCCGCCTGCAGTGCCGGCACCCCAGGTTCTAGTCCCGGTTGGGACTCTGGATTCTGTCCCGGTTGCTCCTCTTCCAGGCCAGCTCTCTGCTGTGGCCAGGGAAGTGCAGTGGAGGATGGCCCAAGTGCTTGGGCCCTCACCCCATGGGAGACCAGGAGAGGCACCTGGCTCCTGGCTTCAGATCGGCACAGTGCACTGGCTGCAGCAGCCATTTGGGGGGTGAACCAACAGAAAAAGGAAGACCTTTCTCTCTGTCTCTCTCTCACCGTCTAACTCTGCCTGTCCAAAAAACAAAACAAACAAAAAAACTATAAGATAGTGTTACAGCTAGATTGATTTTTTCTGTGTACATGGTAAATGGGCAGAACTCCCCTTTTAAACCAAATTGCGGGGGAAGATAGGAAGTTGTACTGATGACCTCGAAGTATGGAAACAGGTCACCACAGTTGATCTTACCTAAAAGGTCATTTTTCTCCTCATCGACATGGTCTTAACATGGTTTTTTAACTTTTAACTTTGTGCTCGCTTCGGCAGCACATATACTAAAATTGGAACGATACAGAGAAGATTAGCATGGCCCCTGCGCAAGGATGACATGCAAATTCGTGAAGCATTCCATATTAAAAAAAATTTTTTTTAACTTTTACTAAGTGTCAGAATTTGCCCATGACCATAGTTTTCTTCTCGTGTCTTTCTATCTTCATGATATGCGTGATGTAACTTTTTTTTTTTTGACAGGCAGAGTGGACAGTGAGAGAGAGTAGACAGAGAGAAAAGTCTTCCTTTACCGTTGGTTCACCCTCCAATGGCCGCCGTGGCTGGCGCACTCAGCCGGGGCACCGCGCTGATCCGATGGCAGGAGCCAGGTACTTATCCTGGTCTCCCATGGGGTGCAGGGCCCAAGCACTTGGGCCATCCTCCACTGCACTTCCCTGGCCACAGCAGAGAGCTGGCCTGGAAGAGGAGCAACCGGGACAGAATCCAGAGTCCCAACCGGGACTAGAACCTGGGGTGCCGGCACTGCAGGCGGAGGATTAGCCAAGTGAGCCGCAGCACCGGCTGACACTTTTAGACCAGATCTAGTCATAACGATATTTAACGCAACTTTTTAAGACTTAATGCTTTTCATCAATCTGAACTTAACAGAAACAGTACACAATAGATTACTTTGGCAGAACATGAATTCTATGTCTCTTGTTTTCGAATAAACCAGAAATAAAAACCTTGAACATATGAATTAGCACACGAAATCATCACATAACTCAGAACTATTTAACAGAGTCGAAAAGAGCTTACAGGACCTAACTCTAGAAATGGCAGAGTAACCAATTGGGCAGACACTGTCAAAAAGAGACGTTGCAGTTTTTGCAAAAACAGATTTTAAGATTTGCGATCGAGACCATTTCCAGATATTTACTAACATTAGTACACTTAAAAACAAAACAAAACAAAACAAAACATTGTTGTAACAGAAGATCAGACTTCAACTTTAGGTCAGTGTAATTTTGGTATTAACACTGAACTTATAGAAAACCCTGTAAACAATATTTTAAAATCGTAAACTTTTTAAAACTTTTTGTGATTTGCTCACACCTTCTGAAACTTACACCCGTAGTTCCTTTTACATAGTCTTGAATTGTCATGTATGGACAACCTATGAGAACGCATGCTAACAAGCTCAGTCTCATTTTCCCATGTTTTACTTAGCACCAATGTCTAGATGACTTAAAACACTGAGATATTAATGAATAAATAGCACACTGTTATCTGAATTAAAAATCAAAATTACATTTCCACGCTTTTAAGTAACTAATAAGGATGACACCTCCTGAACAGCAAACGTGTGCACTAGTGCATGTTTACAACTTTGAAAAAATCTTCATCTTTAAAAGAAACAAGTTTAATGCATATAAAAGACACGTAAAACTGAGCAAGGGACCCAAACAAACTGAAGGGCGTTTGGATTAACCCAATTTTCTGAACCAATCTGTATTGACTTACTTTAGTTAAGAACATAAAGGCTTGTATACACAGAATTTACTCTCATTTTTATAAGACCACTTTAGCTGGAAAGCAAAAACATGAATACAACATAGGTCTGACATCATTTACAACATTGTAATGCACTTTACATAATTTGAATTGACTCAAACAGCTGTTATTTTAACAAGTTCAGAGTCTCATCCTTTGAGAGTTCCAG